TGATAGTACGAGTTGATATTTTCATTGCTACCTGTATTCCACTCTCTTTGCTTTCAGGTCAAACCTATAAAAGTTAGGACCAAAGCCAAATTCCTCTCTCGATTCCTTCCATGAACGAGAGGTCCACTTTTATTTTGAACAATCAAACCTATAAAAGTTAGGATTGTTCCCAATCTCACTTAGTCAAACCTACAAATAGTTAGGACTGAGACCGAGTTATTCCTTTTCGATAAACGAAAGTCTGTCTTTGTCCTTTTTCCCACCAAACCTATAAAAGTTAGGGTCGAAATTGGGCTTTCTCCTCAATGAATGAGGGATTCTTTTGGACCAAACGACCAATCCTATAAAAGTTAGGGTCGTTTGAATCTTTCCGATTCTCGGAGTGGAGATCCCACTCTTAGTTTCATCATTTCGGATTCTGGGGGTGGAGATCCCACCTTGAGTTTCCTTTCCAACTGGAGATAGAATATAAAATTCTTCCTCTTCAGTGCCGGGAGATAGAATATAAAATTCTTCCTCTTCCATTTTCCAGTCTGTCTTTACTCTGAGAAAAGACACAATTCCCAACTTCCAATCCGTGCACTTTGTGCACGGGGAATTTTATCTCAACTCCTAAATAGAGATAAGCCTACGCCTAACACGCGTTGCCGGTTTAGTCTTTCACCGATTGAAAAAGATACCAGAGTATAATTTTGGGGACTTTTATCCCAAATCCTAAGTAGGGATGAGTCAACGCCTAACACACGTTGCTGGGTACCTTTTCCCATAAGAAATGGTGAAGTCTATGTATTCAAAATCATAGCACAAAGTCTAAGAGAAATAATTCTTTTAGCGCAACGTCACATGTGAGACGGGATTAAAATTCACATGCTAGCCCGATTCAAACGATAATCGGTAAAGGCACATCAAACCCGTTGATGGCTGAGAATTTGCCAAAAATTCTATAAACGTGAGTCATTGACGTATCAGCTTCATTAGTTGATCTCGAGAATTGAGCATCCAACGACTTCGGGATAAGATCCATACATACAGATGAATCAGCTTTAATAGTTGGTCCTGCAGCCCAACATTTGGGACCGCCACGCTCGAATACCTTAAGAGCTTAAACTGTGTAGACTTTAACAAAAGTCAACGCCACACAACGCGTTACAGTAAAGATCGATGCCAGTCAATGCATCAGCAATCTTGCCAAATTAAGGAAAACAATGATTTCAGGGAATTCAATCAGATTCAGATATGAATTTCTGACGAAGATGATCAGTTCAAAGTCAACTCAATGGAACGAGCTAAGTTCAGAAACTTACACACCAATCTCAGTTTAAGATTTCGACAACGGTCAGACGATAAACGCAACGCCGGAAGAACTTCATCTATTCGATGAAACAATGAATAGATTGAAGGCTGAAGAAATTAAGGATTGAGATAGTTCAAGGTCACTCTACAAAATTGCGGAGATGGCCTATCTTATCCAAAGCATTCCATATTCCTTTATAAAAGAATGAGTCTGAAATATTTTGGAGGGGGTATCTGTAGGCGTCTAAAAATGCCTATGGGTGTCCGCACACAGCTCGAGACAGAGAGAAGATGATAAACGTCGCTATTAGAGTCGCAGGAGCTCGTTTGACAACGACAAATACATGAAGTGAGTCGACGGATCATACGAAGCAACGGAACTTCGGAATAACGGAAACGAGAGCTGATCGGGAGCCCCACGTCGTTTACAAAAGGCGGAGCACCCCTCGTGTCCCATTTATTCCAAATATGATTCAATTATGGGAGCCTGTAGATCTCCTCGTTGGCTTTCCAACGCATCTTGAATCACCTCATTCCGAGGTCGGATGAGTGAGTTAAGGCAGTTACAGTAACCGCGGGTCGGATGGTTGCTACAGTGCGCGGGTCGGACTGGTGCTATAGTACCGCGGGGTCAGATTAGCTGCTACAGTAACGTGGGTCGGATTAGCTGCTACAGTGCCGTGGGTCGGATTGGCTGCTACAGTAACCACGGGTCGGACCGCGCTACAGTGATCTGACCGCACAAAGAAGTGAAGTTTTGACTATGCTGCGATTTGAATCTGAAAAATCTCAAAACATAAAAGTTGTAGATCTCTTCGTTAGCTTTCCAACGCATCTTGAATCAGCCTAATCGGAGATCGTACGAAAGAGTTATGACCAAAATACCGCAGATATCTCAAACTGACCCGCGCTACAGTAACAGCGGGTCGGAATTTTCCGACCCGCGCTACAGTAACCGCGGGTCGGAATTTTCCGACCCGCGCTACAGTAACAGCGGGTCGGAATTTTCCGGCCCGCGCTACAGTAACCGCGGGTCGGATTTTTCCTGCGCGCGCTGTTTCGACCCCAGTTCGGTTTTTGACAGTTTTTCTCGGGATTTGGTCGTTCCTGAGCATCCAAACTGACTTGATATCATCCCCTAGCATGGTTAATCAGTTATTAACTGAAGATAGAGCCAAATCACTTGTTCTCATCCAAATAACCGCTTCTGAATCTTATAAATACGAGCTCGAGTGCTCATTTCTGAAGGGCGATTGATTATCAAGACGAGGAGGTGCTGCTGGATTGTGGAGTCAAAGGAGCACGAATTTCAGCGAGGGTTGACAGATCTTGGCGAGTTCTTCGGCATAAAGAAGGAGAGTTCGAGAGATCCGACGCCCCTTCCCGTCCGTCCCTTGAGATTAGGCTTGGTCTTAATCTCGAGAAGAGTCCTGATTTCGCTTGGTCGATCTCAGCGCTTCAAATCAAATACTTCCTCGGTGAAGACGAAGCTCTGCCGAATTTTTCATCAACCGGATCCAGATCAAAGGCGGTCCACGGATAAACCCCGGCACAGGCAAAGATCCTACGCAAGCAGAAGACCGATAAACGATCTCCCTGCGTTTGTTTGATAAAGTTGTACACTTGTTTTATTTTCATTGTCAATGAAAACAGCAATTTTCGACGCAAACAGACCTTCAAGCAAGAATCCGCCAAGGTCACCCTATAGCCTAATGCCTCCAATACCCCAAGTGAAATGATGTTCTTCCTCAATTGAGAAACAAACCTCACATCAGCCAACTCCCGGATCATCCCGTCACTCATCCGAATCTGAACGGTACCAATACCACCAATAGGGCATCTGTGATCATTACCCATGAGAACATCATCCCCTCTTTCTAACTCCTGAAAGCTAGAGAACCAATCCCTTCTAGGACATATGTGGTAAGTAGCACCAGAATCCAACATCCACTCGGTGGAGTCGGCAACATCAACTGACGGAAGAGCTGGGCACGAATACCCCGAAGAATCTGAATCTGAAACGTCACCACTAGCCTTGGCAACATTCACCTCTAAAGCTTGAACATCTTTCTCCTTATTCTTCACGGCTTGCAATTTTGGGCATTCGACTTTCCAATATCCATCCTCTCTGCAAAAGGCACACTGATTCCTACCAACTGCAGGATGCCCCCCTCTAGACTGCGACCTCCTACCACGGTTTAGACTTCTAGCTCTTGCAACCAATGCCCCGCAACCGGCTCAATGGAAGTCTCATTGTCCTTCTTTCGAAGTTGATACTTCACAAGGGCTGCGGTGACCTCACTATACGAAAGAGATGTCTTCCCATTAATAAGAGTGATGACGAAGGTCTCATATTCCTCGTCGGGCAAGGAACTCAATAACAACAATGCTTTATCCTCATCTTCAACAATGACATCTACGTTCGCCAAATCTGCAAGTAGATTCATGTAGTGGTTCATGTGATCACTAATGGATGTCCCCTTCTTTAATTGGAAGCGATAAAGCCTTCTCTTCAAATGCAAACGATTTTCGACACTCTTCGTCAAATATTTGCCCTCTAGGACCTCCTAAATCTTTTTTGCCGAAGTTTCATTCATCACATCATATTTTAGATCTTGGGTAAGACAAGACCTAATCACACCACACGCCGTTCTATTCATTTTATTCCAAACATTTTCATCAACGTCGGCCGGTTTCCCGTCCAACTCCAATGTATCTTCCAAATTTTGCGCATTTAGCGCATCCATGACTTCGCATCGCCAAAGTCCAAAATTATTTGTGCCGTTAAACTTTTCCACATCTATTTTTATAGAATGTATATTCAAACTTTGGACGGCCTTCACACCAGAAGAACTCTCCCCACTTTTATCCTTTTTAGCCATATATCTCAAAGCACCCAAACAATTGAGGAACAAATAGGAAATAGATCCAACTTGAAAAAAGATAGAAACTTTACCACAAAGATCCAATCTTTATCACCAATCTAAGCTCTAGATGAACTTCCCAACTGATGTATACCTCCAAAAAGCCCAAGCGTTGCCCGAAGCTCTGATACCAATTGTTGCGCCTCGAGAAACCAAACCAATCACCGAGAAAGATAAAGAACCAACCAAAATCAATAGCACAAACAATCAAACACCAGTTTTACGTGGTTCGGCGAGATGCCTACGTCCACGGGGCAAGGAGGGGGGAGTTTTTACTATTAGAAATCAAGAGGAACAAACTAGGGTTACAAATCTCTCATAAACCCTCAACAATCAACTCTCAATCTCTCCAATTGCTCCTTCAAAAACTCCTGCCTTGCATACCCTAAAAACACCCAAAGGGTATTTATACAAACCCAAAACGAAACGGGTCTGGAAACTGACCCCAGCCAAAACCGCTTCGGCGGTCGACCGCGCAGGTCTCGCAGTCGACCGCGGCGGTCGACCGAACACCAAACCGAGAGCAGAAAACAATTATAGTCAGTCGCGATCGACCGCGGCGGTCGACCGCCTTCATCTCCGAAACCCAGTAGGACTGTGTGCACGTTGGCGGTCGACCGCGACGATCGACCGCCAGTCTGTCTGCTGGTTCCTACCTGTTTTCCTGTAATTCTTCACCCGGCCCCACTGTAGATCACCCCCCCTATCCCCCCAAAAAAAAAACACAAAAAAAAACCACGCACGCGCCCAGGCACCAGTGCCCAATTGCTGATAGATCCCTATTAGTTCTACTGTTGCAGATAAGATCCTTTGTAGTATCACCCAATTGCGGGGAGACGCTGCATAGATATATTTTGGCTATTTTACCATTAAGAGGTCCATTAAAGATAAAATATTTTTCTCTTTCTCCGAGGGTAAAAGAGTCAAAAAATTCACTCAAGGATCTATCTACTGCAATAGAACCACAGAGGGTCTATCTGCAGTTGGGGCTAGTACAAGGGGTCAATCCACAATTAACCCACTTCAAAAAGAGAGTTTCCGCTTATTTATGATAGCATTAGAATGATCACCAATAGTGCTTTAATAGAAAGGAATGCAGGCAATATTTATGAGCTCGCATTTGAATATTGAAATCTCATGATTTTATCATACTGTAACGTATAAAGAAATGTTTCGAGTTCATTATAAAATTTGACTTTAGCTTATGTGAATTTTCAGCTAGGTGTGGATATCGGTTCATCGACGGTTGCTAGGGGAGTAGTGAGTCTTGTACTTGGTTACTTGACTAACCTGGTGATAGAAATGGCATTTCTGGTTCAGGTAAACTTCAGCTCTGTACCACAAGGCTTTTTTTTATTTTTTTGGGTAAAATTCAACAAACCACCTTGAACTCTGGGTGTTTGCACAAAGCTGAATTAGAGAAGATTTTTTTCACTAAATTGTCACGTCTGATGACAGCTAGACTAAGGTGTCATCTGCAAAGGGTTTTGCATAAAGCTACCATTAACTTTTTATTGGCTACATTACCAGATTGGTATTTTATTTAGATGTCTTTTACCAATAAGGCATTTTAGATAGCCAACTCTGTATTAAGGCATTTTAAATAATCCAAATGCGCAACAAGACCCAAATTTTCATCACCGGCCAATTTTCCCGCGAGAATTCATCACGTCCATGCTGCATGATCACTAAATCTGTGTCGGAGCGCTAAGCTGGAGCTTCATTAATTACGTGGCAGGGGTTAGGCAGGTCAATAACTAACCCTAAAATCCCCAGTTCTCCCAAATTGGATAATTAGCCCAAATTTTGAAGGATATTATGCGAAGTTCTCACCCTACTCAATTTGCCCATGCTTTCCCCTTATCAATTTTCGTTTAGATTCCTCCATTCGGAAATCTCCTAATTTCAAATCATGTCCAAAGTTGGCCCCAATTTGAATCTGAATCCCAAATTAAAGAGCCCCTACTTCTTTCTCCACTTCAGCAAGTCCTTACCACATCACCAACTAAAAAACGACATCAAGTGCACGCACGTGATGGGTTCTTGCTGGCAAATTGACTGCCAGTGACAATTTGAGACTTGATGCATCTTTGGATCATTTAAAATGCTATAATGTAGAGTTGCCTATTTAAAATGCCAAAAGGGCCTAAATAAAATACCAATTTGGTAATTCAGCCAATTTTTATTAAAGAAACTATCATGAATATTTTTCACTGAAGTATCATTCTTGACGAAAAGTAGGTTAAGGTGACAATTGCACTTATGTACTTTATATATCTTCTATTTTACTCTCTCCTCTCCTATTTATAAAGTTCTTCAGATCTTGTATCGCAGCCGTTAACACTGCAGCAATAATTTTCAGTAGTTTATATATTTTTTTTTAACAATTTTGAAATTTCAGAGTAGTTTTCTCTATTAAAGAATTTTATGGTCGTTTTGTGCATAACTCCTTAAATCCATGGTAATTTTTAAGTATACCCTAAATTTTGGTCATCTCCCTAATGAAATGAGCCATTTTGCAGGGAAATACCGAGGAAGAGCTCCCTGAATTCCTCCTCGGAACCTGCCGCTTGAACCACCTTGATGCTGCCAAAGCAGTATCAATACCACCATGGTGACCTTAAGGTGAATATTCAACTCATCTGCAAGGATTTAGACTGCCGCTTAAATAATCCATCCATATTTACAAAATTACGCCTATGTCTCAGTATTTGCAAAACTACTCCCTGCTCATCAACATCGGAAAAAAAAATAACCCCCTCCCCTGGTCTAACATTGTCACTTACTAAATGGTTTTATGGGTATTTTTTTCTATTGTTTTACACTTTGACAAATCAGCCCAGATCTAATCCCAAAACCTTTTGATAAGCGGCAGCGTTAGTCTGGGGCCAATTTTTCTTCCAATGGTTGATGAGTTTTGGGTAGTTTTGCAAATACTGAGATTTGGGGGTAAGTTTGCAAATATATATGGATGATTTAAGGGATGAATATACAAAACCCTTTGAATGTATCACAAAATCTGAAATTCGTTCTTTTAGCAGAGTTATTTTCCGATGATACCAGTCGTTCGAAGATCGAAAGGGGGATTTATGTATATTTTCAGAAGAGATGCTTCACTGAATGTAAATATTATTGCCTTTTGATGAGTTACCACAATTCTTTCATTATAAGAAAAGACCAAATTAAAGGGATTCAGGCAAAAGGGGTTTGTGGATTATGGTGAGATTGTTATGTTTTACCTCCACATGTAATTTTAACCGTTGTCAAAATTAAATCAAGTTGGCGTAAACAGTGGAGGAAATTTAACCATTATATATTTGGACTGTTAACTTCAAGGTGGTGAGAGATCAACTCTCTTGAAGTAGTACCCCATGTATAAAAGTTACTTTCAAGGATATAGAGATTTAAGCTGGTGATAAACTGAGCCACACTCTTTTTGAGTTTCTCTGTACTTGTTTAAGGTGTAAGATTATTGGAGCCTAGGCAAATTTTGAGTTTATTTAAACTATACATAATGAAATATTATGTGAATTGTCAATTATGTGTTTTGACCAAATTTTTTTTAATTAAAATCCTATCATTCAGTGCTTACAAGATAAAAAATTAGGCAAAAAGTGTTTTTCTGACAGATGACTTGATATTTAATTCAGAAATGTTTTAGTGACATTAATGGCCTGACTCGTTCATTTGCTGCCATTGTGATGCTTGATGAGTGGAAACAAACCTAAAGTTTATTCACAAGGAACAATAGTGCCTTGCACTTGATTTAATCACCAACTTGCATGCAGTTCTATGATATTGGGACTCAAAGCTCTTTGGATGAAAAAGATCTTCAGCCAAATCAGCTGGTCTGCTATAAACTTGTATTCAATTTAATTAACTTGGAGCTAATTGCCAAACCACAAATGATTTCTAACTCAAAATGATTCCCTCCACCAAAACTTAGAAAGAGCTAATAAAGCAGAACAGTAGATTACCACTCTATTGTGTCTCATCAATTTCCTTTAGCAAATAATTACATGCAATGATATTGAAAGGGAAGGAAAATTATATCCAAGTATAAGTCAGTCTCCCACCTTCATTTGCAGTGCTGATGCCACTGTTAACTCCCCCAAAAAAAAAAAAAAAAATCCAATGGTTTTCACAACAGCATCAGTGGTGCACTAAAAGAATTAACAACACTCTGATCTGTGTATTAATTTTCAAAATCCCTGTATTACACTGATTCAAAAGTTACTACTGAGTATCAAGCGCTGTATGCTACTCTATACGGATAAACTTAACCCTCAATCAAGGGAATATTATAGCTTGCAGTATGGACTTGATTAATGAAACAGCAAATTCTTGCTGAGGGTTTGCTTTCTTATGATGTGATATCCTCTCTTGCTCACTAAAAATAAGTTAAACACCCATCAAATGGTTAACCTAACGTTAGTCAATTAATTAACCATCACCTAACGAGGTAGGATATTCCATCCAAAAGAAATAAAAACGAGTTGGGTATACAGTTTATACTCATTGATAACCCACATGTTAGGTTAAGATGATGCAAATCTACCAATCAACAGATTGGATGAAAGATATATTTAAGGAGCACAAGCTTAAAGCTGAAGTATTCCCCTGTCAATCTCAAAACCCTATCATGATGCTTATTCCACCTACCAACTTGTATTACAAGCTGGCCATGTGAATGCTTTAATGACTTTTAACCCCTTTTCATTTAACCCTTGTTATTAAAAATTCTTTTTCTTAAGGGTGTTGCAACAGGGATCGAAAAACATATGACCCTACATGGGACATGTGAGGTGTCGGCTCCCTGTCCCATGGTGCACCGTTCATGAACAGTGCACCATGGCGACACCTCACATGTCCCATGTATGGTCCTATGTTTTTGAGTCCCTAAAGCATTTTTCTTTTCTTAATTACAAGGTTACAGTTTACCTACCCCCACCCAAAAAAAGAAGCATGCATTCTCTTAAAGATCAATAAAAACTTTGTATATTCACAATATAATTGAGTCCTTTGTTAAGATTTTTGTTCATTCTTCAATTACATTGAGCATAAAAACGGACAATCTCAACACGATTTATAAGAAACACTTCATCTCTTTGCTTGGAAACAAAATCTCCAAATAATGCTAGAAAAAGAATACATATAATGACTATAAGAATGAAACCATCAATAGTTTTTTTTTTTCTCCCCTACTAATCAATTGACTGCAAAAAGAATACAATACATCAAGCTGAAATATCTTAAAGCTAGACCCCCTAAAAAAAAAGATCATATACCCCCCTTCCTTTCTTCTAAACCTCAACCTAAGTATTCTCCACCCATTTTCCTCAATTCCTCATCTAAAATCCTAAACCCTCAAATTTCACTTTCCCATCTGTACAAAATAAGGGGACCCCACTAAAAAACCCGAAAGGAAAAAAGAAAAAACAATAATAGTAACAGCAATAAAATGACTCTCAAATCAAACTCAACACACTGAACTCCCCTCTAACTCCTCCTAATGTATGCAAGAAGGTCACAATTCTTGGCCGCAGGAGTGCACTCCGGGGACGGCGACACGGCCACCGTCTTGTTCCGCATCTCGACGACCTTCTTATGCGAATTTGAGTGAATGGTCGGCACGAACGTTGGGCTAGCGGCCGGCC